CATTAGTCACCCCAGACAAGACCAGAAACCACCCCTCTGAGCCCAGCTTGTATTGGCAACTCACATAATTATGAGCAAATAAATGGGGATTGTTTTTTAGCCACAAAGTTTAGAGCGGTTTATTAGGCAGCAGTAACTGATGCATCATTGAAACAAACTGAGATATACAGGCACATGTGCATGCACATCACAAATTAAAATAAGTGAATGAAAGGAAACTGTGACTCTATATATGTTGGAAATGAAACTGTTGACCACTTTGTCCTTGTGGAAAAAATCCCATTCCTATGCTTTTTATTTTGCTAACTTGACTCTCAACACGCTTTTCCCCACTATTTTGGTAGATATTCTTTCCAGTCCTTATGGCAGACCCCTATTTCCTCTGGTCATATTGGAAATACTGGTGCTCCCCAGCCATGTCCTCTCCTTACTCAACATTCCCTTTGAGTGTCCCCATTTGAATTTATGTCATTTATACATGATATGTGTATACCAAATTGAGATTTCCAGCTCAGATTTGACTTTCTCCTAAGCCCCTTATACCCATTGCCTACTGAACACCTTTTTATATATGTCCTTAAAGTACCTCAAATTCAAAACATACAAAATTGAACTATCATTTTTTTCTTTCTTCTGTGTTCCCAGGTGCAGTCAATGGCACATTATTCACTAGATAACCGAAGCAAGAAAGCTGATGAATTGTATTGGCTACTCACTTTTGGTCACCCATTATATGCATTTACTAATTTGTTTTGGTTCCACTTGTGCAGTTTGTCTCAAATGCAAACAAACGTTTCCATTCATATGTAGTAGCTTCATTCATGCCACTCATCTTTGCCTGAGTTACTTAAGAGCCCTTTCACTGGTTCCTTTGCTCTAGTCATTTTTCTTCTCCCATCCATCCTCCATAAAACAGGCCATATTCCCTCTTTTTTCTGAATATATTATTGTCAGTAATCTGTTTAAAACCCTCTTCTGAATCTCTCTTGCCACATGATTAATTCATACTCCTTGGCGTGACATAAAATTCCCTTTATAAAATAATATTTACTCTTAAGCTTCATGTCCCTTCATGTGCTCTGCTCTAGCTTTAACTCTCTTACCTCAGGGCCTGAACACAAGCATTTCCTTTTGATCTCTGTTTAACTCTCACTTCTTCCCAGAAAACCATCTTTCCCCTCCAAAGCTTAGGATGGATGTCTTCGCTTGAAATCTCATAGGACATTTTACTGACCACTGCTGGGAAAATTAGTACACTGTGTTTTAGTGTTCTCTCTCTCTCTCTCTCTCTCTCTCTCTCTCTCTCTCTCTCTCTCT